GTTCGTGACTTATGAAAAACGAACACATAACTCCATACATATTTACCAGAGGGCGGCATAATAATTTTTTAGACTTAATGTTGATTAAAAGAGGTAGAAAATATCAAAATAGATAATAGCATTATTACCTTTTAGACTTAAACGGACAAGCCCGTGAAAATAACTCATTTAATATTTTTGTCCCGTGCATTGGACGGGGTACGTACTAGTAATCTATACTTATATTAAAAGGAAACCTATTTACTAAATATAGTAGGTAGAAAAGTCAACTTTAATTAATGAACTTCTAATTTTATCAAGTAGTAATTAATGCATTTATAATTTTAATCAAGTTTCCTATTTTACATATTGTTTTTAATCCTTCATATCTTGATATAAAAAAATCCCATAAAATGGGGTGAAAAAAAACAATCAAAATTCTGTTTCTAAAAACTACAAATCAATATTACGATTTTGAATAATACACTAACAAATTATAATATATTTTTATAAAACTTATAAAAAAACTATTAAAAAAACTTGGTTCGTATATTTGTATAGATATTTATATTTTTTTAATATTATCTATGTGTTAAAAAAAAAAACTATTTAACATTATTTTTTTTATTATATAATAAAATAATAATTAAATATTATATGATGAACAAGAATAAATAAAACTGTTACTTTTTTCTCATATCAAGGGATAAATTTATATACTGAAATTAAAGTTTTATTAGTGTAAATATTTTAGTGAGATAATATATTAATTATTTTACAAGCTAGCCCTAACATACTCATATTTAAGTTCTGGCTAAAAAACAATGTTGGTTAAAAGATATGAAAAAAAAATTATAACCTTATTATTTTTTAGACTTAACGTTGATTAAAAGAAGTAGAAAATAGATAATAATACTAATACTTTTAAGATTTAAACGGACAAGGCTGTTAAAATAACTCATTTAATATCTATGTTCCGTGCATCGCACGGGGTACGTACTAGTAGGGAGTTAAGAGGAAGATGATTAAGGGGGTAGGAAGTGTAGAAGAAAAAATTTTGTGTGGGGACTGAGGAAGAAAACTAAAAGAGGTTTGGGGATTTTTGAGGAAGTTCCCTTTTTTTAAATTCAAATGATACTCAAAACTTTGATAAAATATCATTTATTTCCCTATTCTTTCCCTATTTTCCAGAGTCCAGGCAACACAGGACGACGGATAGACAATTCACTGAAAATATCCCAAAAGATTCGCCTCACCTCGTACAAACAAACCTAAAACAATAACAATAAATATTTACCCTTCACCTCCGTTACCCTCCGGTCTCTTTCTCTCCAGTTCCCTCCAGTTCCAACTAAAATCGCTTCGTTTATTCCCCTTCCAAAGTTCCCCGCACTGCACGTAACCGCACCAAAAAAGCCTCACCAGCTATAATCAAATCACCAACAAAAAGCAGACAAGAAAGTTTTTTCTTTTTGTGCTCTGTGCTAAGTGCTTACACAAAAGAAGAAACGTTACAGAATATGAAGATATATGCGTAATCTTTGTAAATAATGTTGCAAATTTTCCCAAATTCGAATCTATTCAGCTTACTTTTATACAATCCTTGCAATAATGTTAAAAATGGCAGCAATCGAATTACACTCAGAGTTTACGTATTAATTAAAAATCTTTCCTTTTTTCTTTCCCCTCAAGATTTTCCTCCTGGCCTAGGGTTTCTGAGTTCCCATTTTCATTTTCTCGCCGAGAGCTATGGCGCCGTCGTCGTTAAAATGCAAGAAACTCAGCGCCGGCGGGAGCTGGAGGTGCAACCTTCCGGCCCTTACTGGCGAAACCCTGTGTGAGAAGCACCACAAGTCGGAGTACAGTCGCCGGAGGGCAAAGCCGGCGGAGAAAATCGAAAGCCCAGAAAACTCCAGCGGCCGGAAGCGAAAGCACGGTGGTGAGTATACCAAAGACTCTGTTTTTCAGGCCAATGGAGGTCTCGGGGGCTCAAGGAGGAAGAGGGTTCAGCCGGAGGGCTGGGATAACGATGGGGAAAACGATGAGGTGTCGACTAATCAGAAAGGCCGGCCGGACGGTCCAAAAATCGAATCGAAAAATGGGTTTGTAGGGAAGAGAGATGATTTGGTTAAGCCAGAGAAGAGGGGAAGAGGGAGGCCGAAAGGTTCGACAAAAAAGAAGAAAACCGTGGACCGAGCAGTTGAAACTGCGGTACGATTTGTTGAAATCGAAAGGATCGAAAAACAAGACTCGATTTTTGAGGTGGTCAGGGGACGTGGGAGGCCGAAAGGCTCCACGAAAAAGAAGGCGAATGTGGAAATAATAGTAGTGAGTGAAGATACAGAGGAAATTGGTTTCGAGAAGGACGATG